TTTGTATTTCTTCCTTGGGAATTGCTTGTTTAGGTCTTTTGCCCATTTTTGGATTGGGTTGTTTAGTTGTTTCTTATTAAGTCATATAAGCTGCTTATATATTCTGGAGATCAAGACTTTGTCGGTTTCATTTGCAAAAATGTTCTCCCGTTCCATAGGTTGTCTTTTTGTTTTACTTATGGTTTCCTTTGCTGTGCAGAAGCTTGTAAGTTTCATTAGGGCCCATTTGTTTATTCTTGCTTTTATTCCTATTGCTTGGGTAGACTGCCCTAGGAGAACACTTTTGAGATGCATGTGAGATAATGTTTTGCCTATATTTTCCTCTAGGAGGTTTATTATATCTTGTCTTATGTTTAAGTCTTTGATCCATTTTGAGTTTATTTTTGTGTATGGTGTAAGGGAGTGTTCTAGCTTCATTGCTTTATATGCTGATGTCCAGTTTTCCCAACATCATTTGCTGAAGACACTGTCTTTATTCCATTGTATATTCTTGCCTCCTTTGTCAAAGACTAGTTGACCAAGAGTTTGTGGGTTAATTTCTTGGCTCTCTATTCTGTTCCATTGGTCCCTAAGTCTGTTTTTGTACCAATACCATGCTGTCTTGATGACTATAGCTCTATAGTATTGTCTGAAGTCTGGGAGAGTTATTCCTCCAGCCTCTTTCTTTTTCTTCAGTAATGTTTTGGCAGTTCTAAGTCTTCTGTGGTTCCATATAAATTTTATTATGGTTTGTTCTAGTTCTGTGAAATATGTCCTGGGTAATTTGATAAGGACTGCATTAAATCTGTAGATTGCCTTGGGCAGCAAGTTATGCTTTTAAAATGATATATAGTCTCTAAGAATGATTTCAGCTGGCCTCCTAGAAGGCTGGATAAGAATCACTGAGGGAGCTTTTCCTCCTAAACTATGGGTGTTCACTGACTCCTTCTCCAAATACACTCGTGGCCCATGTGGATAAGCACCTACTCCTTGTTGAGGTGACCAGGGCCATGAGTGACAGCATTCTTTGGGATGACTCATTCCAGGGCTGGGATGTGCATCCAGGATGCCTGCCTCCATGTCCCTGGTTTCCCATGCTCCCAGCACATAGGTTCAAGGAACCAGGAGACCACATCCATCCTGGCTCTGTCATCCCAGGGCCAAGTCACTGCACCACACACCGGAGTCCATGCCTGCATTTGGGGTGTTGTGATGATCAGGGAGAAAACAGGGTAGGGCGTGTTGGGCATTGCACAGTGTTGACTAAATGTGATTTGTTAACATGATGAATAATAGTCTTATTAGATGTGAGCACTAATGCTGGTGCAGGACAGGCTCTGGAAAAGCAAGCAAGCTGACTGTTAGCCAGTGACAAGCGAATCATGCCTTGTTTCATTTAAAAAAAAAAAGCTTCTATTTCTTGTTATGGAAAAGAGAAACCAAATGGAAATGAGGAACATGAGGTGACTTAAAAATAAGCCTGTTACTCTCTGAGAAGTTTGAAATTGTGTCCCAAGGTGGAAATCATCCTAACTTTGTGTGACGGAGGTGACCATTTTCTTTCTGTTTTTTTGAAAAATATATTTTTATTCAAGTACAGTCAGTTTACAATGTTGTGTCAATTTCTGGTGTACAGCACAATAATTCAGTCGCATAGGAACATACATACATTCGTTCTCATGTTCTTCTTCACCATAGGTTACTACAAGATATTGAATATGGTTCTCTGTGCTATATAGTATAAACTTGTTTATTTATTTTATATATATTAGTTATTATCTGCAAATCTAGAAATCCCAATTTATACCTTCCCACCCTCTTCCCCCTCTGGTAACCGTAAGTTTGTTTTCTATGTCTGTGAATCTGTTTCTGCTTTGTAAATAAGTTCTTATTTTTTTTGTTTTTTTTTTTTTTGTTTTTAGATTCCACATGAAAGTGATAT